GCGAGGAAGGCAGGGGCCTCAGAAGCCCTCCAGGCTTCTGAGATCCGTGGTCGATCTGTATGCGCCGTTCCGCGTTGGCGTCTCCCGAGGCGTCGTCAATCCTCGACCCAGGAAGAGCACGGTGTATAGTTTTCCTCGGCCATCAGAGCCAGAAAATTATGCACCGTGTCGCGCTGGAGCAGGGCCTGAAGGGAGTCCAAACACGGTACGGTGCATGGGCGCCGTTCTCATATGAGAACTTCTGGGGGGCCCTCCCGGGAAGCCTCTGAGCTCGTTTGGGCGCCCCCCCCCTGGCCTGGTCCGAGGGCCGCCCTCCCCTCCAGACATCGACGACCACGACGTGGGCCCTGGAGGTCCGGGCCCCCACGCGGAACCCTCGCGGATCGATCCGGCTCGAGAAACAGATGGCGGGTTCTGCACACCCTGAACCCAGAAATGTTGTCATCTCTTGGGAGCTCGACGTTTGCTTCAGCTGGCGGAGGCGGCCTCGTTGTACTTGTGCCAGCTTCCGCCGCCCTTCCGCCACCTTCCGCCGAGGAAGAGATGGTAACTCCTTCGACCCTCGAAGGCGAGGCCCTTTCTGGAACGCGGGCGAGGGCTCCAGTCGTGATGTCTCCAGTGGTTGGTGCTCTTCGCGAAGTCGGACCTGACTGGGCCTGCCCGGGAACGCCCCTGCGTCCCGAGCTTGCTCTTGGCGTCCCCGAGCGGGGCCTGGCAAGGGCGTCCAGGTGCCCAGCGCGGGCAGGATCGAGGACCGAGGTCGATCTGGGGTCGAGGACGGTCGAATCGGGGAGGAGGATCGAGGGGGAGGATCGGGATAGAGGAAGATCGAGGATCGAGGAAGACCGAGGATCGAGGATCGACGAGGGCCGAGGATCGAGGGTCGAAATGAGGATTGGGGGTCGAGGGCAGACCGCCACGCCGCCGTGATATCTCGCCAAGGCGCCGGGAGGCCTGGGCCGCCGCTCCTCCTCTCGGAGGAGGAGAAGATCGGGGGCAACGATAGGGGGGGATCGAGGAGGATCGAGGACGGAAGAAGACCGGTTCGACAGACGACCAGTTCAACAGGGACCGGTTCAACAGACGACCGCGAACAGACACCGGTTCAACAGACGACCAGTTCAGCAAGGACCGGTTCAACAAAGACCGGTTCAACAGGACCGGTTCCGCAGAACCGGTTCCACGGAACCGGTTCCACAGGACCCGTTCCGCAGGACTGGTACCACAGAACCGGTTCCATAAGCCCGGTTCCACAGGACTGGTTCCACAGGACCGGTTCCACAGGACGGGTTCCACAGAGGCGAGTCCTGCTACTCTCTCTCACTACACTGTTGCTGCTGTTGCTGCTGCTGCTGCTGCTGCTGCTGCTGCTCCTCCTCCTCGTCTTCCTCCTGCTCCTCATCCATTCCTCTCTGCCCTCCCGCCCTCCCCCATCCCTCGTTGCCGCTACGTCCCCCCGCCCCACATCCCTCATCCCTCCTTCCTCCTCCCCTCTCCTCCTTCATCCATCATCGAGGGCCACCCACCCGACCCGTCCTGCCCGACCCGACCCGACCCGTCCCGCCCGTTAGGGTCCGCCCGCCCGACCCGTCCCGCCCGTTAGTGTACTCGCGTGCCAACTCGATGGCGCATCATACTTTAATGTCCTGCCCGCCCGACCCGACCCGTCCCGCCCGTTAGGGTCCGCCCGCCCGACCCGACCCGTCCCGCCCGTCAGGGTGCGCCCGCCCGCCGGACCCGTCCCGCCCGTGAGTGTACTCGCGTGCCAACTCGATGGCGCACCATACTTTAATGTCCGCCCGAACCGACCCGACCCGCCCGTTAGGGTCCGCCCGCCCGACCCGTCCCGCCCGTGAGGGTACTCGCGTGCCAACTCGATGATGCACCATTATTTTATGTCCCGCCCGCTCGACCCGACCCGTCCCGCCCGTGAGGGTCCGCCCGCCCGACCCGACCCGTCCGCCCGCCCGCCGGACCCGTCCCGCCCGTTAGGGTATTCGCGTGCCAACTCGATGGTGCATCATACTTTAATGTCCCGCCCGCCGACCCGACCCGACCCGCCCGTTAGGGTCCGCCCGCCCGACCCGACCCGTCCCGCCCGTTAGGGTCGCCCGACCCGTCCCGCCCGTGAGGGTCCGCCCGCCCGCCGGACCCGTCCCGCCCGTTAGGGTACTCGCGTGCCAACTCGATGGCGCACCATACGTACTCTGCACCGTCCGCTCGGACCCGTCCCGCCCCCGCCCGACCCGACCCGTACCCGAGCCGACCCGTCCGCCCGCCCGACCCGACGGACCCGCCCGTTAGGGTACTCGCGTGCCACTCGATGATGCATCATACTTTAATGTCCCGCCCGCCCGACCCGACCCGTCCCGCCCGTAGGGTCCGCCCGCCCCGACCCGTCCCGCCCGTTAGGGTACTCGCGTGCCAGCTCGATGGCGCACCATACTTTAATGTCCGCCCGACCCGACCCGACCCGCCCGTTAGGGTCCGCCCGCCGGGCCCGTCCCGCCCGTTAGGGTACTCGCGTGCCAACTCGATGATGCACCATTATTTTATGTCCCGCCCGCTCGACCCGACCCGACCCGCCCGTTAGGGTCCGCCCGCCCGACCCGACCCGTCCCGCCCGCCCGCCCGTCCCCCGTTAGGGTACTCGCGTGCCAACTCGATGGCCATCATATTTAATGTCCCGCCCGCCCGACCCGACCCGTCCCGCCCGTTAGGGTCCGCCCGCCCGACCCGACCCGTCCGCCCGAGGGTCCGCCCGCCGACCCGTCCCGCCGTACTTTCGTGCCAACTCGATGATGCATTATTTTATGTCCCGCCCGCCCGACCCGACCCGTCCCGCCCCGCCCGCCCGACCCGTCCCGCCCGTTAGGGTACTCGCGTGCCAACTCGATGGCGCACCATACTTTAATGTCCCGCCCGCCCGACCCGACCCGTCCCGCCCGTTAGGGTCCGCCCGCCCGACCCGTCCCGCCGTTGGGTACTCGCGTGCCAACTCGATGGTGCATCATTCTTTAATGTCCCGCACGCCCGACCCGACCTGTCCCGCCCGTTAGGGTCCGCCCGACCCGACCCGACCCGTCCCGCCCGTGAGGGTCCGCCCGCTCGCCGGACCCGTCCCGCCCGTTAGCGCATTCGCGTGCCATCTCGATTACGCATCATACTTTTATAACCCGCCCGCCCGACCCGACCCGTCCCGCCCGTTAGATTCCGCCCGCCCGCGGACCCGTCCCGCCCGTTAGGGTCCGACGGGCCGCCGGACCCGTCCCGCCCGTGAGGGTACTCGCGTGCCAATTCGATGGTGCATCATACTTTAATGTCCTGCCCGCCCGACCCGACCCGACCCGCCCGTCAGGGTCCGCCCGCCCGACCCGACCCGTCCCGCCGTTAGGGTCCGACGGCCCGCCAGACCCGTCCCGCCCGTTAGGGTACTCGCGTGCCAATTCGATGGTACATCATACTTTAATGTCCCGCCCGCCCGACCCGACCCGACCTTTCCCGTTAGGGTCCGCCCGCCCGACCCGACCCGTCCCGCCCGTTAGGGTCCGCCCGCCCGCCGGGACCGTCTCGCCCGTTAAGGTACTCGCGTGCCAACTCGATGGTGCATCATACTTTAATGTCCCGCCCGACCCGACCCGTCCCGCTCGTTAGGGTACGCCCGACCCGACCCGACCCGTCCCGCCCGTTAGGGTCCGCCCGCCCGCCCGACCCGTCCCGCCCGTTAGGGTACTCGCTTGCCAACTCGATGATGCATTCTACTTGAATGTCCCGCCCGCCCGACCCGATCGACCCGTCCCGCCCGTGGGTCCGCCCGTTCGGGTCCGGGGGCCCGCCGGACCCGTCCTGCCAGTTTGGGTACTCGCGTGCCAACTCGATGATGCATTCTGTTTGAATGTCCCGCCCGCCCGACCCGAGCCCGACCCGGTTCCGGGGAAGCGGTTCTGGGGAAACGGTGCACCGGGGAAACGGTCCAGGGGAACGAGCTGCGGGGAAACGGTCCTGGGGAACCGGCTCCGGGGAAACGGATCGGGGGAAACGGTTCCGGGCAAGCGTTCCCGGGGAAGCGGAACCGGGGAAACGGTCCCGGGGAAACGCTCCTCCGGGGAAGCGGTCCCCGGGGAAGAGGTCTCCGGGGAAACGGTCCTCCCGGGAAACGGTCCCGGGGAAGCGGTTCCGGGGAAACGGTTCCCGGGGAAACGGTTTCGTATCATCGAGGACCGAGGTCGATCGAAGGTCGAGGAGGACCGAGGATAGAGGATCGAGGAGGATCGAGGATCGAGGAGGAAGATCGAGGATTGACGAGGATCGGGGGCCGAGGGCAGACCGTTGCCGTCGTCATCTCGCCACGGCGCGGGGAGGTCTGGGCCGCCCCCACGCTCCCCCTCTCCGAGGACGAAAAAATCGGGGGCAACGATAGGGCGCGATAGGCATACAGTCGGACCGAGGTATAAGATCGAGGTCGGTTCGGGCAGGGTGCCCTCGTGTGTTTCGTGTTTGTTGGATGTTTTGGCGCATCCTGGAGGAGGGCACCCTCGAATGTTCTTCAGTTTGGGCCGGCGGAGGATCTCATGCTCTTGAAGTATGTCCTTCTGTCCTAGGTCCAGCTGTAGAGGGCCCCAATCGCCCACTGATCGCCGATAGGGGCCCGATGGCCCCGACCTGCCCAGGAACGTGCGGACTCGCTATCGGGGGCCTCTCGCCAGTGTATCGGAGATGTATCGACGATTCCACATCGATGTTGCCCCTTCTGAAAGTCCCCACCCGATCGTTGCCCCGCAAAAGATACCCATACTGCTACCCTTTCCTCGTTGTACGCATTTGTGTGCCTCCTGGACGGCCCTCCTCGCCACTGCTGGATTCGCCTCGAAACCCTGATCAGAACGCACCCCGGCAGAGGTCTGGGGAGTATAGCGGTATCGGTATGTTTTGCCTTCCCCCTCCTCGCGCCGCCAAGCTTCTACAGCTGCTGCGGCCGGTTCACGCTGGCGCTCGGGGGCATGCTGCTGCCGCAGGTGGGCTGCTTCCCCGGCGCGGACGCGGGCCGGGAGCGGCCAGGTGGCCGGTACCCGTTCGGGGTCTACCGCTCGGCGTTGGCGAGGTGTTGCCGCGAGCCGATCAGGCTGCACCAGCAGATGCTTCGGAGGGCGCACTCGGCGGGCGCCCACTATCTGAACTACACGTTGCTGTACCTGCAGCCGGAGGAGTACGGGGCCCCCGAGTCGGGCGAGGTGCAGCTCCCCGGGTTTCGGTTGCACCACCTGGGCGCCGCCAGCATGACGGAGGATATCGGGAGCCTCGTCGGGGCGGCTTGGGACTTCTGGATCAGGTGGGATGCCCAGGTCGAGCGAAACCGCGAGCAGTTCGCGGTGGGCTCCGCGAGGGAGGACCTGGGCATCGACGGGGAGGACTTCCTGCCTGTCTTCGAGGCACTCCGAGCTTCGGGGGCCGAGATGAGCTGCGCAGTGCTCGACGTGGGTGCCAACAATGGCCTGGACCAGAGCCCGCTGCGAGGCTTCCACGCCGCATACGGCGCACGCGTTCGCGGCGCTGCGCTCGAGGGCTCGCGCCCCAACTGCGCGGCCTACCGCGCCCGGTTCCCACACATGGAGGTGCACTGCGGTTGGCTGAGCGCAGAGGGCCTAGGTCGGAGGAGGGCCAGCAGTCGAGGCTGCGGCGGTTTTCCCTGGCGCTGGCCGTCCTTTTGAAGCCTCCTTGGGCCTTCTCGTCGCCACGGCTGGATCCGCCTCGAAGCAGGAGTCAGGATGGACCCGGGGAGGGGGTCCGGAGACCCGCTTTGAGCAGACTTGGGTCGGGCGGGAGAGCGCCGCCGTTGTCTCGACTGCCCTCCTCCGATCATACAAGGCTCCCTTCAGGAGCCGTCAGCTGGAGGCTGCTTGCACGTCGGGGGCGCCTTACTGCGTGGACCTATGGAAGGTCGACATCGACAGCATCGACTGCACCGTCGTTGAGGTGCTGATGCGTTCCTACAGCCCGCCGCTGCGACCGAAGGCCCTCATCCTGGAGGCAAACACGCACTTCCCGCCGCCCTACAAGTTCAGTCTGGTCAGCAGCCCAAAGAACTTGTCGATCTCCGCGAACATCGCCCGCATCCAGAGGGGGTTGTTCGGGTGTTCTCTGAGCTACCAGGTGTCCTTCCTCATGGCCTTCGGCTACTGGCTGGTCAGCTTCACCCACAAGGACGCGCTTTTCCTGCAGCAGGACTTGGCCCGGGCCGTCGGTTTCACCGCCCCCATGTCGGGGGGTGCTAAAGGTTCCCGTAGCCCAAGGTGCCCCCAGCTTTTCGCCCCATTCTGGAGATGAGGCCCCCTGGGCCTCGTGATGGGGGTGCTCTGGAGGCAGTGTGGGGGCCTCCTTGGAAACCTTGGGGGGCACCTTCGGCCAGGAGCACTTTCGGCAACACCCGACCATTCGAGTAGGATAGCGGCTGCAGAATCGATGTACCCCAACATTCGGGTTTCAGTCAAATTTACACACCAATTTAGCAGAGTGCTTCTGCCCAGCTAAATGTTCAATCATTCGGGGTACATGAACTATGTAGTCGATCTCCTACTCGAGCCATGGACGAGTTCTCCGCATTCATGGCCTCGCCCGTGATGATCAGCCAGGACATGTTGACGCCTCGTAAGTGGAGGTCTTGGTTCGGGGCGCCCCCGCACCTCGGGCTGGCGAAGATTCAGGAGCACCTGGAGCGGCTCCGCCGCGACGTGCCGGGCGACCTCTCCTACACGCTGTCCGTCTGATGTTTGGAGGCGACGATACAGGCGAATAGCCCAGGGTCGGGCAATACGCGCATTCGCCCGGGAGCCTCGCCGATGGCATGGATCATCGGCGCTTCTGGATACGTGTATTGATCTCCCCTGAGCGATTCGCCCCCATTGTCGCCCCCGAGATGCGGTTTGCCCACGCACGGCCTCAGACGACCGACGGCAGTCCCCAGGCTCGAAGCAGAAAGAGCGGCATCTTCGTGGATTTGCGGAGCTCCGTGCAGATTTCTTGGACTGGCTTCGGACCTCCCTGCCGGGCGCGGAAAGGGCGCGCCAGAGGCGCCGCCAGGAGGGCCCAGCGCATATCCAAGGAAGTCGCGTGGAGTTTCGAAAGTTTGTGTTCATGCCGCTGTGCGGACGGCCGGCGGCCGCCGCCTGGAGATCATCCCTGCGAGCGGCCGAGGGCTCTGGCGGCACAGCATCTCACGGGCTCGGTCAGTTCAGGCGTTGCCAGAGGTGCTCCTGCCCCGAGGTGCCCTCAGGAGTTGCAAGGAGGCACACGGCCTCCAGAGCACCCCATCACGAGGCCCAGAGGGCCCCAGGGGCTCCAGAATGGAGCAGAAAGTTGGGGGCACCTTGGGCCAGGGGCACCTTGAGCAACCCCCGATCAGTGCAGTGATTCAGCGGACGAAGAAAGGCATCACATGAACTTTTGCGCCGTCGGGGACGCCTGCCACAGGGCGGCGGAAAAGGTGATACCCTGATCGTTGATCGTTGTGCTCGTGGTTATCATTATCGCTACCGTTGTCATCGTTGTGGTCGTTATCGCTATCGTTATCGCTATCGTTGTTATCGTGGGCAGGCGTCCCCCACGGCGGGACAATAGATGTTGTACCGTTCCTCGTCCCCTCCGTGATGGCCGCCCGCTCCTTCTGGCGCCGCCTCGGGCTCTGGGCGGGCCTCGGGCGGGCGCGCCTCTCGACAGGCAGGCGCGTGCCATGTCGACGGGGCTCGAGGGAAGATAAGCGGGGACCATGGTAAAGACATCGCGGGATCTTGTCGATGCCGACGCTGGTGATGGTCTGTGTCGGCCGTCGCCGATTCGCGAGGAGGACCCACGAGATGGCGCTGGCCGAGATCGACGGAGACCAAGAGCGACGCGACGTTTCCGCGCTCGATCTTGGCCATGGTCCCCGTCTTTTGTTCCCATCCATGAGCGCCGTCGGTGGCCCAGGATCGGCCGAGATCGACCGATGCGCGCTGTCGGGGAGGCAGCCGCGACGTCGCTCGAGGCTGCACGACCGGCGCGGTGAGCAGAGGGCAGCGCTCGGGTCGACGCGGCACGGGCCTGCCGTTCCCACGATTGTTGGGCCGCACGCTCTGGGCGGCAGGAGGGGCAGGGCAGGGCGCGGGCAAGAGGTCTTGCCCCCAGGAGGCTCGGTCTCCGACCCACGCTGCGCTCCCGAGGCCCCTCTGGGGAGCTGGAGTCATGGGCAGGGGCGCGGCCTGGATCTATCAGGGCCTTCCTCGATGCGCCCGCTTGGAAACGCAACACGGGCCGTGCTCAAAACGTCCGTGTCAATACGTTGCGTGTCGGCTCAGCGTATTGGCCCACGTTTGGGCGAACGTATCGCGTCAGACCCACGTTTTCGGTCTACGTGTTGAGTTCCGTATCAATACGCTACGTGTTGCGTGTTGCGTATCGGGAGAACTATGTAAGATCAGGGTTCCCAAACGGTGCGGTGACCACACCGTGTGGTGAGTCAGGGGGGAGTCGGGGTCACCGCTCGGTTTTGGGACTCGGGTCGTTTGCCGAGGACGTCTCGGGCGACTGGGGCCGCCAGGATCCCAAAATCGTGTGGTGTGGGGTGAGGTCTTCGGGGATCTCGAGGTCACCACACAGTGAATCACCACGCCGTTTTGGCACCCCAAGACGCTAGCATAGACATGACTACGTTTGCCGCAGGCTGGATCCCCCTGCGAGGCCGTGTGTGTCCACACGCGTATAGCAGCGCACAGTCTTTTGGGCTGCAAGTTGCCTCCTCCTTCCTCTCCGTTCCTCGTCGTCGGCGCGGCCGTCGTCGTCGAACGAGGCGAGCGACAGCTAGGCAGGGTGGGCGCGAGCCAGGGAGGGGGGCGGCCTGGGTCGAAGGTTGGGAGGAGCTGCTGGCGAAGGGGGCGAGGAGGAAGAGGAGAGGCCGCGTTCGTCGTCGCGGTCGTCCTCGCCTCCCCCTGCTCTTTCCCTCCCTCCTTGAATGGTCGGCGGGGATTTTTGTTGGCCGAGCAGCGAGCAGGCGTCTGCCCACCTAGCTGCGGCCGAATTTCGGCCACATTCACAGGACAGCCTCGCAGTGGTGTTCCGCATCGCTTTTCTTTGCCGTTCCTCTTCTCTATCTCCTCCCACTTCCGCAAGTGGCTTTATATGATTCCGTCGATGTTTTGCTTATTTCCCGCATCGCCGCGGAGGCTGTAACTTACTACGCGTTGTGCTGTCTCACCTCGGGAGTCGTTACGTGAGGCCGCATCATAGAAGTGGTCGATTGGACCATAATGGGGACAGATGCGCATACAACGCAATGTTCCGTTCTCCGTGGTCTCGTTTGATCTTCCTCCTACTCATCATCAGCATCCTCTTCGTGTCTCACGCTGGTAGTAAAGGAGCACGTTCTGCTTCCGTGCCAGAAATGTGGAAGAACGCTCTGGGAGGGTTGAGCCACTTCCTGCGCCATCCCATTGGATGGAATCCGAGCTCTGGTAATTGAGCACCCCCAGAGTGTGCGCCGAGGGGGGGAGGCAAAAAATGGCACAGGGCGCCGGACGCATGTAACACTCCCGAATGGAGGGGAGACATGGACCTGCAGGGCAAGCGAAGACGGCCGCGCTTCGCACGTCGTGGCCTGGGCCGGAGAGCTGCCCTTCTCCAGCGGGGCGGCGCTCAAGGTACGGGGGTCAAAGCAAACGGGGGTTCGGCCAGAGCGCCAGATCTCGCAGGATCTTGCAGAGCCAAGGCTGCATTGGCCTGGGCTTGCGTGCAGGATCCTGCAGGACCCTGTAGGACCATGCAAAGCCTAATGGACCCGGGCTTGGATTGACCCGGGTCAGTAGATCCCCAGAGCGGGGCGGCGCGGGGGCGCGAAGATGGGCGCGCTCTCCGAGCGCTCTGGAGCGCTGTGGAACAGCCGCGGCGCCCGACGCCCGATGCATCCCCCAGACCAGTTGGCTCTCAGAGGTTCCCGACTTGTCTTCGTCCCGATCTTCGTCCTGCCTGTGTCTTGGGGCTGTGAAAGGGGGAGAGTTACGAAGATTGCTGCGCAGCAGTTTGTCTGAGCCCCGCGGCCACGCGCTCTCTCCTGAATGACACGGCCGCCCTCCAGCGCCTCGTGGGCGTCCCGTGCGCTGGCTGGGTGGGCCGAGGTTTCGCTCAGTGCCCGCCCGTGGGCGGCTCGTGGGCGCCGCACAGGCGTTCAGAACATAGGCAGATTCCCCTACCAAGAGTAAGAGTAACCTTCCCCCCTTCCACTGAGGCCAGGATTACTCGCTCCCCCTCCTGCGTATTTGCTCACAGTTGATATGTACAATGTTTCAGGACGTAACATGCAAATCGTACCACGCCAGTCGACCCGTCACCGCCCCCCATTCACGCCTGCCAAATGATGGCATGCTGTGCGCACGCGTTGATCTGACAAGAGCATATCGCCAGAAGCCCTTTGAAATTACACCCTGCGGGACACGTGTGTTCGCCCCCGCGCGCGCTTGTCTCGAATTAGCTTGCATGCACGGGTCCTGCATAAGTTGTCTAAGGTCGGGGGTGAGCCTATCCAGATTTGGAGTCGGTGACCCGTGGTCTACCGTGTGGTCTCCCGTCTTGTCTCCCGCAGTGGTCTTCCGCAGTGGTCTCCCGTATGGCTTCCCGTACGGTCTCTCGTACGGTTTCCCGTCTCCCGTCTGGTCTCTCGCATGATCTCCCGCATGGAATCCCGTGTGCGGCGCGAGGAGGCCCAGGGCAGGAGGAGGTGTGCTCCGGGCCGAGCGCCCAGGCCCGAGCTCGCGCGCGAGCAGCCATGGCGCGCCCCGAGCAGCCGCAGGCTGGCGGCCCCGCCTCGGCGGCGACGGACGCCGAGGCGGGGCTCGTCTGCGGGGCCCCGCGGCCGCTGGCGGCGCTGCGCCCGACGGTGCTGCTGCAGCTGGTCGCCGGCAACATGCTGCTGCAGGCCCGGCCGATCCTCGCGGCCCGCTGCGGAGGCAGCGGCGCCGAGGCCGGCGCGGCCGCACGCATGCAGCTGGCCACCGCGCAGAGCCTCGGGAGCCTCGCGGAGCTGCTGGCGGGGCCGAGGCTCGGGCGGCTGTCCGACGAGAGCGGGCGGAAGCCGGTGATGCTCTTCAACATCCTCGACTGCGCGTAAGAGGGACCGTTCGCCAGAGCGACCTCTGGTGCGGGCCCAACGGGGCCCCCCGATGGCTGAGGGCGATGCGATAGCAGCGACTTGCTCGCCTGGCGGTGTCCCCAAAGGGCCCCCCCTTGGCCGCGCACTAAAGGTCACCCTTGCCCAGGGTCACTCTTGCGTGTAGCCGACATCCTGGCGCCCGCGGCGGCGTGGGTCATGGTGTTGCTCAGCGGCACCTCCTCGCCGTGGGGGATGCGCCTGCTGTGCCTCGACGCCTTCCTGACCCGGGGCTTCGGCATGGGGCCCATGCTCAACACCGCCAACGTGATGATCAGCGACGCCGTCTGTCCCTCCGACCAGCCGCAGGCGCGCGCGGACCTGGCGTCTGTGCGCGCCCTCGGCGTGGTCCTCGGCAGCCTGCTGGGCGGCTGGCTGCAGTCCAGGGTCGGCCTGGCCGCCCCGTACGCCGCCGGGGTGGCCGCAGCATGCTCCGCGGCGGCCAACCTCGCGTGGCGCCAGCCAGAGACCCGCTGCAAGGCGCCGATGCCCCAGGCTCCAGGCCACGCCGCCCTCGCCAGCGGCGAGACCGAGGGAGCGGCGGGGGCGCGCTGGAGGGGCGTGTGGGCCGTGCGCCAGCTGCTGGCCGACGCGGAGGCGGGGCCGCTCACGCTACTGCTGGTCGTGCAGCAGGCCGCGCAGCACCCGCTGTTCAGCGACGTGGCCATGATGTTCTTCCGGGACACCCTCCGGTGGGACCCCACCATGTCTGGGCGCTTCCTGGCGGCGTACGGCTTGTCGGACTTCGTCGGCTCGCGCGCCGCCGGCCCGCTGGTCCGAGCGTGCGGCCCGGACCTGCAGGCGTCGCTGTCTCACCTGGGGATCGTGCTGGCGTTCGTCGCGTGGGGCTGCGCCCGCAGCTCCGGCGAGATGGCGGCGGTGCTGCTGCCCCTGACGCTCAGCTTCGGGCGTGGCGCCGTGTCGCAGTCGCGGGCGCTGGGCCGCGCCGAGGAGCTCGGGATGGGCAGGGGCGAGGCCATGGCCGCCCTCTCCTCAGCGGGGGGTCTGGTGCGGATCGCCTCCCCGCGGCTGTTCGCAGCGCTGTATGGCGCATCCAGAAGACCAAAAGACGGCGTAGACACTGCAGCAAGTTCGTGTCGTGTCGACGCGGCGGCGGTCCCCCGCGCGGGCGTTCGAGGTTGAACGCCCAGCGTATGCCCAGAATCGGCCGACGTCGAACGATGCGCTGTCAGAATGCCGCGAGAGTTCAGGGTTGAACGACCCACACGGCGTCAGAAACCAGCGACGATGTCGTCTCGACACGAACTTGCCGTAAGCTGTCTGAAGTCCGCGCGTTTTCTTGGGGTCGGCGCGAACCCCGTCCCTCCAAGCCTTCCCAGACGCGCGGAGCCCCCTGGACGCGCCTCTGTCGCCGCGCTGGGCTGTGGGGAGGTGGGTACATCTCTGACCCGAGAACGCGCGGACGTTCGAAAGAGATTGTATCGATCTCATAGGGGAAAATACCCTGAGCGGGGTCGGTCAGAGGGGGGTGGCAGGGAGGATTCGACGCATCGCCGGTTGGGCTTGATCGAAGTGGTGGCCAGAGGTTTGATAATTCTTCGCTGGGTAGTTCGGAAAGAGCGCGCTCGTGGCACACTTCTCACTGAAAGGAGGGCCCCAGCTTCAAGCTACCCCCCCCTCCCTTGGAAAAGGGGGGGGGGCTTCCGAAGCTCCCCCCCCCCTCGCTCCATTTTGCGGGCATTGTTTAGCTGGGAGGGCCCTAGCTTAAGGGGGGGGGGCTTGGAAGCTCCCCCTCCCTTTTCGGGGCGCGGGGTCAGCCCGGGCTTCCCTTTCAAAGGAGGGGGGGGGGGCTTCCGAAGCTACCCCCCGTCCTCCTTTTGTTTGGATGTTGTAGCTGGGGGGGTCCCTGGCTAAAGTGGGTGGGGGGATTGAAAGCTACCCATCCACCCCTCCTTTTTTCGGGGCCCGGGGTAAACCTGGGCTCCCCTTTCCAAAGGGGGGGGGGCTTCCGAAGCTACCCCCCCCCTCCCCTCCTTTTATTGGCGTTTCCAGCTGGAGGGTCCTGGCTGAAGGGGGGACTTCGAAGCTACTTTTCTTTGGTTTTCGGCGCCCCGTTGGTTTTCGGCGTACTTGTGATTTTCGGCGTCTCCTTTGTTTTCAGCGCCTCTTTGGTTTTCGGCGCCCCTTGGGCCTTTGGCGCCCCTTTGGTTTTCGGCGTTCATTTGGTTTTCGGCGCTCCATTGGTTGTCGGCGCTCCTGTGGTTTTCGGCGCTCCTTTGCTTTTCGACGCCCATGTTGGTTTTCTGCGCACCTGTTGGTTTTCGGCGCATCGTTGGTTTTCGGCGTTGTGTTCCCGCGCCCCTTTGGTTTTCGGCGCCTCTTTGGTTTTCGGCGCTCTTTTGATTTTCGGCACCCCTTTTGGTTGTCGGCGCTCTTTGGTTTTCGGCGCCCCTTGAGTTTGGGCGCCTCTCGGCTTTCGGCGCGCCTTGGGTTTTTGGCGCCCTGTAGGTTTCGACGCCCTTTTAGTTATCGGCGCGTCTTTGGTTTTTGTCCGCGCCCCTTTTGGTTTTCGGCGCGTCGTTGGTTTTCGGCGCCCTTTGGTTTTGGGCGCCTATTTGGTTTTCGGCGCCCTTTGGTTTTCGGCGCATCCTTGGTTTTCGGCGCACCTTCTGGTTTTCGGCGCCCCTTGGGTGTTCGGCGCCCCTTTGGTTTTCGGCGCCCTCTTGGTTTTCGGCGCTCCTGTGGTTTTCGGTGTCCTTTTGATTTTCGGCGCCCTCGTGGTTTCCAGCGCTATTTCGGTTTTCGGCACCCCTTTTTTTGTTCGGCGCTTTTGTGGTTTGCTTCCTCCTCTGGATGTTTTGCGCCCCCTTGTTGTTCGACTCCCCTTTGGTTTTCGGCGCCCGTTCGGTTTTCGGCGCTCCTTTGGTTCTCGGTGCCCTTTCGGTTTCTGGTGCACCTTTGGTTTTCGGCGCTCCTTTGGTTTTCTAGACCGCGTTGATGGTCGGTGCCCTTTTGGTTTTCGGCACCGTTTTGCTTTTCGGTGCCCTTCCTGGTGGTTGGCGAAAATTTG